TTGAGGGGTTGAAATCTTAGGCGGGTTGAGAAATGGGCTGAAAGTGTAGGGGGGGGTATAGGATGTGAGGTGTGGGGTTAGCCTATGCTTGCTCGCTGATGAGTCAGGTTTTACCAAGAACCCCATGGTTGTCCTCAAGCCAAAACGTTGGCTTCCTAGCTTTCGCATTAGTGCTCGAGGTCAAAAAGACTCCTCTGCTTGCTTGGCGTCAGACTCACGGCGCATTCGCTCAGACTCCTGTGACTTAGGAGCACATGCAGGGTTTGGGCCCAAGCTTGGTTCCAGGTGCCTGGGAGGCATGAATGGGGATTGCAAGAATGAGTAAGGGTTCTAGCCTTGATGCTGCTATCACGACCTAGATCTCCTAACCAGTCAGGTGGTACTGTACTCCAGTAGTATCTTGCTGCATGACTGCAAGATCACACAAGCGTACAATAAAGAAGCTCAGGATAATTTTCGAGTTGTCGTTAAGAGGCTCAGGAGGATGACACGGAATGCTGTGAAGGGTTTTACGCTTGAGGCCTAGAAGAGCTGCACCGACTGGAGGGGAAAGGCTTTCTTGCATTGATAAAGCTTGCACACACGCCGAGCACACAAATTGAAGCCACCCGTCTTTCAAGGATCTCACGCCGGGTCGCTTGTTTTCTCTTGGAATCTCAGTGCGCAAAAAAAGTTTGAAAGTAAGTGAACACAACTTTTAAGCTTTGGAAGCTCATTTAAATGCTGCGCAGAACTGTATTTGCTGCATAAAGTTCCACTGGTCTCGGCAACTTGGAACTGCCTGCAACATCCACGCTATTGTTTCGAATGCTGTGCGGAAATCAAAGCGCAGAAGATCAGGGTCTCCCAAAAGAATACACCCCCCGCCAGAACCACACGGCTTCGAGTTTGTGGGTTGGGTTTGGGATTTAGGGTTCAGAACTTAAAGTTTAGGGATTATATAAACTGCAAGGCTGACATCCTGAACCTTTCGTCCTCAGCCTTTCTGAGGGATCCAGGACTTAGCTTCTCAAAGAACCCTATTATTATATACCCCACTGAAGCCACCCAATAAGCCCTCTTCAACTAGCTTTTACAGGAACCCTGAAACCTGACAAGGCTGCATAAACCCCTAGGCATGCCAGGGTCCCTCCCAAAAAGCTGAGCCGCAAATCCGAAACTCTGAAAGCACCATACCTTGCCTCCTGCTGCTTCCTGACCTCGGCAGCTCGCTTCGCTGCTTCGATCTTGGAGGCCTGCAAGTTGGACTTCAGGCTGCAAAGGTTGGCAGTGGGGGGTTCAAGGCCTTTATCGGGTCTGGCAAAGGCTGTCTCTACAAACTGTTGTTCTCAACACTTTGGGTTCCTTCTGTGAGTCCCCCTGCTCAGTATTAGCTTGGCAGTATACGCGAAGCCCACATTCTGCGAAACTATCCATTCGCGTCCATTTGCCCTACTTATCAAACAACTCATACTATCATTGGAGGCCGTACGCGGACTATGCGCCATCGCTGCTCTCCTTGCGCTAGCATGCCACCCACCGCATGGACTTAAACTATCCAGAAGGCCAACCTGACGTTCATGCAACATGGCAAGCAGCAATTTTCTGGTGTCTACATAAGACTGTGTCTGGCCAGCCAGAGACTATGGGGATACACACACCTGCAATTTGAATGCAGCCATGTAAGTCCCCTGCGTAACCTCAAGACGCTGCGCATCTAGCTTGAAGGAGGTCTAGCCAGATAGCTACCCGGAACCACCCATTGAAAGCGGCCCAAGTTGCAGATGGGTGTCTTTGTAGTCACAGTCTAGCGTGTCAGGGAATCAGCTTAGTACATGGTATTCAGGGTGTACGAACCTCTGTATGGATATGTCCTTGGATCAGGATGTTTTCCTTTTCCATATTTGAGCCCACTAGAAACGGCTGGATTCTAATGCTCAGGTTTTAGGGAAATGGTTACATGCTTGGCTTGCCCTTGGAGATGAGGAATTCTTTTTAACGTGCAACTAATGAGCAGGGTTCCAATGGACTACACTTTTCCGGGACTTGGGCCGTCTCATTTTGTGGGTTTTTCAGGACGTGGCATAGAAGTGTAGGGTTGATCCGTGCTTCTGACCAAGAGCCATGCCGCTCAAAATGGTTAGAAAGGTGCAGATACTTGGAAATCACGGTGACCCAGCAGCAAAGGAAGCAGCGTTCAGGAAACAAGCGCAAATATAAACAATGACAGGAACAGCCAAGCGGTGACAGAAACAAAACACCGACACACACAGAAGTTCATCATGTGCGAAAAATATGACAGAAAAGACAAAATTGCCAGCCTACCTCATGCACTTGCCCAATGCGCAATGATACATTGGCAAAACCCTTGGTAGGCCTAAACCCATTCCCAAGGCCTCTGCAGCCTTGCGGTCAGACTCCTGGCAGCCAGAGTGTGTGGCGTCTAGAGTCTAGGGGTTCTGGGGGCGCTGAGAAAAGGATTTTGGGGGATGAGAATATCAAAGCTTCAAGAGAGTTTGGGGCCTAGGCATTGCGGGAACAGACGATCTCCTGCCCTTCCCCTTAAACGTACCGTGCTATTTGTGAATTGCACAAGGCCTTTCTTCATTGGTCCAAGGCCTCTACCCAGCGGGAGCCCTGTCATTCATTCCTTCCTGCTCAAACCAGGTGCCATAAATCTTGTCATAGGATCCATCATCTCAAGCCCCAAACCAGATGCGGGGCATTACTATTACAGGTTCTAGCTTAATTTCAAGCAGATCGTAGCAAGGCTAGTATTCATGGTGGTTCCATAACTTGATTTATTCCAGTTTTACCACACTCCAGCAGCTGCAAAAAAGAACCTCCTAGACAGTGTAGCTCGAGATGGAGTTTGAGATCAGAATAACTTTGGAGTTCCAGGCGCCTTGAGAGTGTTCCTCGACCATCTGGATGGTTAAGCAAATAGAACTTCCGTCCCAAATTCGGGGCATGACTGAGCTACGTACCAAGGTCAAATCCCAGCCCTATCATTCCACAAAGTTTAAAGCTCAGCTTGGTCCATGCAAGCTAGCTTTTGTAAGTGCAAACAGCGTCTGCACAGAAGTTGGAAGTTGGAACCTTTTCGTTTACAATTGCGCCTGTACGCTGCCACCAAAGGTTAAATCATAATTGCGAAGCAGGCGTAACACCTCTCAAAGTGATGGCTGAGGTAAATGCAGATGCAGGGGTATAAGCTTGGCGAGGGAACGTTGTCGACCGATAGGAGTCATACAGAAGCCTGCACACGCGACAACAGGATACTCTAAGCATCTAAGCAGCCAGGGCCACCATATACTGTCGTGTTGGTTTGCGTGCATTATGTCCCCAATACTTGAGTACTTCGCCCCGACTTTGGCTACGTACCCTGCGCATGGAAGCAAAGGATTCAACTACTACTTCCCAAACAGCAAGATGTAGGCCTCTCAATCCTACAATTCACACCCCTGACCCATGAACCTGCCCTCCCAGCGATCCTCCTGCTCTTTCAGCTTGAACTCTGCCACCTTTTAAAAGATTTATAGAACGAAGGGCGTGAAGAGAGGTGCCGATTCCAGGTCATTCCTGCGATGATGATTTAAAACCAGTCGTGGTACTCCTGTCTTTGGGCATAGTATCAGCCATGACACATAATGCCATGAAATCAGGACCCACAATTCCGAGTGTAACGTGGTCCTGGGCCTATAACTACAATTTCATGCATGTGGATGTGCTGGCAAAGCTGTTCAAGGACATTCGCTGAGGCATGTAGAGTATCCCTGCACTATGATTCAGGGAACAACTCTTGAATTATGAGCAGGGGGGCAAGTGTGAAGCAAAGAATCATGCTGGCCATACGGATCAATGTAGGACTTCTGTAATTACCAGTGTTTGGTAGCTTTGTACTTGGGAGGTCCGGTCCCTGCAGGACCTCCAAGAGACCAAATCCAAGCGTGTGGAATAATTTGCCAAGTCTAAGAAGGCCCTCTCTCAGCTGGGCAGACGAAGTTCATAAGTCCGGCTAGGCTGCAAACACAGGCTCTGGCATGCTAGGGGGCAGCTGCGAATCTCAAGCCCTGAATAGACAACAGGTTTCGCCATCATTCAGGCTGCGATGCGTTCAGAGAAGCCGCTCGATGAGTGAAGCTTTTTGAGGATTGCAGAAGATTGTGCCACAGTGTCCCCTCTCTTGGAAAAGGCTCCAGATTGCTCAAACATACTAGAGGCGAAGCATGGCGAAAGGTGTTTGGCAGTCCCAATCGATACACGACGGCCACAGATTCCCAACTCCATACGGTACCCACTAGCCCATGCACATATCCACTGAGATGGTCGTGCGGCTTAGGACAGCCGCAAGGTCGCAACACCCGAAAAGGCCATCCGCCACAGCCCGGACAAGTCTCATTACAAATGGAGCGAGACAAGAGGAGACAGGTCTCCGAAAGCCTCTGTGGACTCCGTCGACATGGAAGGAGACAAGAGGGAAAGAAGAGTGCAAGCCCCGGAAACCTGCCTGCTCTGTTCCGAACGCGACATAACTCACCCACACGACCCAGCCCACCTGCTTGATATGAAGCGAAGCAAGAGGAAACAAGACGGCACATGATGGGACAGAACACTTGTCCAACACCCGGACAGACCCTATCCGAACTGGCTGAGGCAAGAGAAGACACAAGGAAACCAACCTGCGAAACCCTGCCCAGCCGAAATAGTTGCAACGATCCCAGTGTCGAGTCCAAACAAAAGCATTCCGTAAGCGGCAACAAGAGAAACTTGCATGCAGACAGAGTTCCAACAGAGATTCTGGGTTCATCAATGTCGCATCATGAGAACGAGCGGCATCCACTGCAGAGCGCTTTGCAAGCTCCGCTGGGTCTATCTTCACCTGGGCACGCTTGTTTTTGCGTGTTTCTCATACAGGGCTGGACAGGGGATCCAATCATCAGTTTTGACCCGAGCAGACGCATGATGAGAGCTTCAAACGTCCCTGTCAGCGGAGCTAAGGTCAAGGTTGCTGTTGAGGCCCTGGGTATCAGACCCTGGTTTGAAAGCTCCTGCAGACGTCGATTAAGACATGTATGAAGTCCCTAGTGGTGTAATCGTTCTCGAAATCAGCCGGCCTTCATGAGGCTCGAGGCCTGCATGAAGCAAATGGTGGCTCTCATTCCGGAGCTCGAGCAAAGGTATGCGTAAATCAGTCTACCTATGAGCCTCTCACCTGGCTCTATGAATGCCCTTTCAAAGAGATCTGGCACTGCATTGGTGAAGTTGCCTCAACCTCATGATGTTGCATGTTCGATAGTAAATTACAAATGGTCACAAACGACAATGGGAGGCTCTATGACGTTGCACGCAGGCCCTGAAACCTCTACAGTAAGACTTAGAAGGTGGTTCAGCAATGTGAAGCTCCTACAGTAGCTCCAGCCCTTAATCCGCGCAACAACGGTCTCAAGTTGATAGAGGCGCCGTCAACGCCCCCGGCGGAGGAGGGTTGCAGGCAGAAGTGACGCAAGTGAAGTCCTTATCGTAGCTGGGTTTGAGGGTTTGCTCAGGGTGAACAACCGGTTGCTGTAAGAGCTGCCAGGAGTGTATGCGTACCTAAATCAAACATTGGAATGTATGTATATATCTCTATATATATATATCCATACCTCTTACATCCTGCAACCCCTCTGTTTCGGCTGTCATGAACGTCTTGCTCTTTTTATTAGCGCTCTGTCCAGCAGCTCCGGTTGAACGGTGCGTTTGCTGTACATGTTTGAGTATGTGAGTTTGTGGCCTTGAGAGTTCAGGGCCTGAGCTTTTTTCCTGTTCCAAGCGCGCTGTAGAGCCCTGGACCCCAAGCCAATGTAGCAGCTCCGGCATACGGCTTGCGATTCTATGATACGGACTGAGACAAGAAGTATACGCATGCCAAAATGAAACCCGAATAGGAGCCTTTATTGCTTCACTTTGAGACATCCATACTAGGAATGTTGCATTGACATATCTTACTCTGGACCTGCAGGGCTTTGCTCATTCTTGTTGGGCAGCTAACAGGTTTTGATTGGAGGTTGGCGGGAAGCAACGAGGATACCTGGTGTGATCACCGCCATTATGCGGATGATGACCCCAATGAACCCCACGTTATGCAGTTCAGGTTTTGGAGGCGACTGGTTCAGCAATTAGGCTGTTGCTCATGTTTGATGAGTGTCTGTTAACCCTTCAGCACGATCTCTTTGTGCTTGATGTTTGTGACAAAGTTTAGGAGTGCACTTGATTCATGGAATGCTCTTCCCAATGTAATCCTCAAGCTAGTTGCAGCTATATGATTGGCAACGGCCAACACCGGCATTTCCGTTATCTTGTGTCCTTAGTTTTATTTTGGGTGCAGCTACTGCAATAATTGCCTTTTAGGTCGCGATTGCGCAGGAAGACTAAAGGACTCTGGCTTTGAAGGCTGGTGATTCAAGATACTTAGTTCAGTTCCGGCAACCGAGTTTCAAGACAGGATTTGGCAGCGCCGATGCAGGAAGACATCCTGAAACCTTTAGACAGTGGAAGCCAAATTCTTCACGTTACTAAGTTGATTCGCGCACTCCATGGCTTCAACACTTCAAGCAAAGTTCACAAACCAAAGCCTCAACAGCCTCCATATTGGATTCCAGACGTGTAAAAGATGCCAAACATGCCTGTTGCATGTCTGCTTACTCCAACACAAGGCGTTAGGCACACAAGTTCCTGCCCAAAGGGTTGGCAGAACCAACCTCCAAACAGACCAGTCTGTTTAAACCATTTCACATCCAACGGTGCAAAGTCGAAACCATGCCAGCAAGAGTCAAACATGCCTAGCAGGCGAATCAGCGAAAGATGTTGGTCGAGAGAACTATGCTTGCAGCTTGAGCCAATTGCTACGGGACTACGGGGCTAGAGTTTCCTAGGTGGACAGGCATGCTCAGAATTTGAAAGTCTAGCAAGGCTCAACTGTGACAGACAACGGATCGGGGCGATTGGTAGCCACGGGAAAGATCACATGCCGAGAAGAAAGACTTCAAATTGTAACCCCTTCCCCGATGCCAGACGCACCTGCAAGCCTGGCACAAAGAAAGTTCAAGTAGGTAAGCTGGGGTGCCGAACATAGACGGCCTCAGGGATATTGGTGGTGGACTGGATGGTAAGAGGACTGTAGGTCCTCTGGAGCTACCTGTCTGAAGAGCACCATTATCTTTTCTGCCTCATCTACTACTGAAAGCTCTAAAGTCTCTGACTCATCCTCCTTCCATTGTTTAAGCAAGGTTTCTCGTGCAAGGAAAAAAGGATCATGCTCTCATGACAAAGAAGCCTCGAAAAGGCACTATCAGGGCAGTAGCCCTACGCGAAGAAAGGACTTCCCACTAACAAATAAGAGCTTCTAGAAATTGTCATGCTTGGTGTCTGTTCACTATAGGGAAGGTATTTAAGCGCCTTGTTTTGAGAAAATCCCCATGTAAGAAGTCCCGGAAGCAAATGATGGACAATTAGGAGATGGAAGTATGTCTAACGAATTCAGTATGCTGATAGCTATCGCTTGGTCATGAGCTCGAATGAGGCAGCATCCATATTCATGGTTCCGCAAGAGTATGATTCAGCATGTCTACATGTACATGTGTCAGAAAAGCTACCTGCTCACTGAGACTGTTGACCTGGAGCCCTACATCATTTCTGCCCGAAGTGTTTACAAGAAGAGATGGAACTCTTGAAACAGCACACCCTGATGATGAAGGGGAACTTCTCAGAACCCCAAGCACGCTACCTCAGATGCTTGCAGTCACGTTATCCAATGATACAGTCGTACTATGATCTTGCGGTATCCCGCCCCAAAGGTGAAACCCCCCAGGCCCCCAAGCCTAGAGCCTATGCGGTGCAGTCTTGTACTGCTTAGCCCCAAACTTTCAGAGCTCCAAGGCCCCTAAACCGGGCAGGCCTGGAAAACACCGTCATCACGTTCTCTGGGCTTCGCCTTTGCATAAGCTTCATTATGAAGTATAGGGTTTAGGGGTTTCAAGGATTAAGGAGGTGTAGAGCTTGAAGTCTGGGAATATCGGACTGAGGGTTCTTAAGGCTAGCCGCGTTGCTTACACCCCCCTTATTGAATCTCTGTTACCCATCCCTTGGTAAGAACATTCACAATTCAGCTCCACCAGTTCCAAATTCATGACCAGAAGGCCTTTCATAACCCCAGCTTGGGGACACGCCTGCATCAACACACAACTATGGCAAATCCACGTGAACAATGGTACTGACTGATGCTAAGCTTCAGAGTGGAAAATAAGCAACATGATGAAGCTCAAGGCTACGGACTGGAAAATCTGACATGTTGAGTCGGTATTGTGTGGTTGGGTTGGGCACGCGAGGCTGACGGTGCGTTGTGCGGCGATGGGCATTGGAGGGACACTCTCGCATTTGGGTTGGGCGTATTGGCCACTACAGGCACGCCGATCAGCACTCGACGGAGAAAGGGAACTGGGCGAAGAACACATGCAGAGCTTATCTTATCCAAATTCTCTAACCCCACCTTGGGCGTCAGGAAGATGATGCAAAAAGCAAGCACCGTCATCCAAACAATGAAATCGCCATGAAGTCTTGGAGAGGGCACACACATTGCACGTCAGAGCAGTTGAAGCAGTCCCTACATAGTTTGGTGTGGAAAGTGCCATCGAAGTCTCTGATCTTTGGACATAAAGGTCTAAATAGGAGCTGACAGACATACTGGGAAGTGTCTTCCTCCAAGACCTGTTTGAATGCTCGAGGCTAGAAGGCAGCAGTACTTGAAGCTCATACGGAAGGTCTTTGCTTCATCATGATAACTTGTCTCTTCGATCCAACGAGAAACGACTGCATGCTTGCGTCGAGATCTAGAAAGAACCAATGAACACAATGCGGGAAGATACTCGTCCAGAAACTTGCCAATCGAGACTTGTAGGAAGCATGCCGGACATGCAATTTAAGTGCATCTTCCAAGCGTGCTGATAGAACTCATGCACCCGCATGACATTTGATGACCGATGCCCCGAGCAACGAACTTCCTTGCTGAGGCTGCGCACGCCGAGGGGTCTGTGCAGCCTTCACGTACACGGAGGTTATACCTAGGCTGCAGGAGTCGTGGCGTCCAGCTTCCGCTTCCGGGTTTTGGGCGGGGGTTTGCAGTCTGAAGGCTTTGGGGATCTTTGGGGGTTCGGCCTTGCGAGCTCTTCTTTCAGGGCATGGGCTCTCCGGGGCCTCTCACAAAACATCCACAGAACTATACTGCAACAGTGAATCAGCCTTGAACAGCACATGCAATCAAGACCGTCACACGTACTAAAGGCAAGCCTGCTAGCATGAATGTCTCTTTATGCTCGTAAGCCCTTGCCGGAGTTGTCAATTAAGCGCAAGGTTTGCTGTGCACACTCCATACTCCGTCTCACTTCTGAGAGGAGTACCTACGAGCAACTAGCAGCTTGAATCAGCCTTGACACGTCTTCGCCCATCTGTGGATCCGAGTTGCGTCGTCTAGCTTAGAGAAAACCCTGGACTGCCCTGAGCCGAAAAACCCAAACACTTCGTTACTCAACAGTCTTGTCGGTGCTGGCGGACTCTGCTCCCTCTGCTTCCCCCTACCAGGTCTTGGTTGACCCAAGTCTCGTGGGCACTTTCACCTACTCCCAAGTCGAGCCTTCAAACGATAACTGTAGGAACCATGTATCTTCAAACCCGGTCAACCAGGCCGCCAGTACCCAGCCCTGCAATAAGCTAGCCTGAAACCCTCCACCTGATTCTTACATATAGCTTGGTTGATCTGCAATTTAGCCGGTCAAACTGCTTTATTCGCGTATCCAAACCGGTAGGCCCCAGAGGCGCACGTAATATTCAAGATCTTAGGAGCGCACATAGAGGTAAGATCAACCCTTGAACCCCACACTTCCGATGCAAAAGCCAGGTTGCTCTGTCCCGTACTCAAGACCTGCATAGATGTCGCAGCCTGCAGTGCGCACTTGTTGTAGCGGTCAAGGAGTGCTGATCCTAAGCAGCTTCCAACCCTTGGCTGGCGAACTGCAAAACTTGAGAAGCCGTTCCCAGGTCGCTGCTAACCTTGGGGTTGCTCAAAGTATTCTCTAAGCTCCACACCCTCAACCCTGAAGTCAAAAAATCTGCCTCCCTTCCTAGACCAAGGACCCTGAACTCTGCCTTGAAAGCTGCGAGGGAAGGCCAAGCATTCTTGTTGGACCTCATTCAGACGACGGGGCTGCGCAGCCCTGACGCAAACCCTACGCACATTCAGGGTCCCAGCCTTGGGTTTGGGGTTCTGCTCGTCTATTTCTTGGGGTCTAGGATATATCGTGCAAGACTTGAGGGTCTAGGACGTCTGCTTCACGTAAAGCGATTGAGTTGCCAAGGCCCAACAAATCACCAGCCGTGAGGGACCCTCACCCCACAACTCCAAAAAAACAGCTTACCCACAAGTATTGCAAGGACAGGTAGCTCTTCTACAACAGAGTACACACTTCTGCCAGTTGATGGTT